AATATATAGAATTCAGTATATTCAGAGTAGAGCTTTTAAGTGTTTACTTGCACTTGCGCTTCTCCATTTGGCCTCAAGTCAGGGATCCAGAAAAATGTGGTGTAAGTGACTTGCCCAGTGTCGCATATGAACTGTGTTGCAGAGCTAGGGATAGAATCCAGTTTTCCAGGGCAAAGCAACTTTTAGTTTTCAGAAGGAAGGGTTGCTGTAAATTCCTCAATCCTTGCATAAAGTAAACCTTAAATGAGCTACTCCAAAAAGCAATGGTAAATCTAAGGAAACATGCAAGATCATACTTTTGAAGCAATGAATTGATTAAAAATAGTTTAAAGGTCACAGATTCTACTGGGAAAAGAAAAATGGAAATAGAATGGTTTCACAAATCGGGAAGACCATATTTTAGTCTGCTTTTCATGACCATCAAAAAGGTGAACTAAATTATGAGAATAGTTTTATTTTTACCCCTTTGGAGCTCTTTTACAGTGTCAAGAGGATTTTGAAGATTTTTTTTTCCTCAGTAAGTTTTTGAAATTTTTTTAACCTTTTAAATATCAAGTGCTGAATTTAAGGTTTTTACTGGACTATAGGGCTAAACAAGTTGATCAGGACAGTACTACAACAGACCAAAACTGGAACTTCAGCATTCCCAGCTTTTCACTGCAGGTGAAAGAGATATTGAATCTTTTTCAGAAAGTTGTCCTCCCTTCCTTCTGACCCCTCCATTTTGCCATGTGAGTAAAGCAGGCTAGAATAAAAACCTGCAATAAGCCTTTTTTTCCTTCTCATTCTGCTGTAACTCTCCAATCTACACATTCAAGTCTCTTCTCTCATTAAAGCTGCTATTAAGTTTTCAATCTTCTGTGGTGTCATCTTTATCCCTCTTGTCATCCAGTAAAAAGCAGGGAATTTAGGACCGATATTTCTAATTGAAAAATTACCAAGTAAAGTTGTTTGATTCTTTTGAATCAACTTTTGAGGTTGTCATCATACATCATAAAGAATCAATGAAAGGGACATATTCTGGGGATTTTTTTTTTTACTGTGCAATTTAACTTTCTCTTATAAGTCTTTCAACAGACTAACCCATGCAGAAATAATGGTATGTTCAGTGAAAGCTAGAACACACTGAAACACAGCTATTTATAACTTTTAAATAACCTTACAAAACCGCTTATAAAGTTTAAAGCACCACAGATCTGGAGTTTGTGGGCTCAGACAAGTTTGCAAAAGGGGAACTGAGCTGGTAACTGGAAATGCCAAACAAAAGTGAATTAAATGTAAGGTTGTATATGGCTGACTATGCTCCCTTTGAGAGGAAGAATGGTTTTGTGGGCAAAGAATATATTTAACTTGAAGCCACAAGACTTTTCTTCTACCGCAAATATGCTATAAGTATCTTGCATGACCTTTGACCCAGATACTTTGTTGCTTATTTTTTGAGCTGTGAATGTTCAACTTTTCTTGAAAATAAGACGTCTTAGATATCTAAATTTGGATGTAGGGGCCTGATTTCACTCATTTGTAAATATTTACCTTGAACTATCATAATTTATTAAAAGCAATTTGGCAGACATATGAGATTTTTCTATTTATTTATTGTGTGTGCTCTTGTGCTCATTTAGATGTGGGGATAGAAGATTTTTCTAAGTTGTGTTTTATAAAGACTTCTGAATCAATGGCAATGGGAATCATATGTTCTAATGATTTCTGCTGCAGGAAAATTACTATTTACTACAGAAAATATGCTGGGTTCCCATTGTCTTATTTCGTGGATAGCTCCCTTTTCCTAGAGTCATGAGTGTATAATTGAGATTTATGTTGTGATATTTTTGTTCTCTTGGTATACATATAACTTATAAAAACATTTTCTCATCCAAGAGACACACCCTTTTTTTCTCCTCCAAATATATGCCCCAAAATACAAATGTATCATAGACTTTTCTAATTAAGAAACTTTGCTTTTCCCTCTATATTTTAAATGTTCTTACACTTTTTCTTCCATTGCTGAGAAAATCTAACATACTGTTTTAATGTAAACCTGAGCAATGAGCTTTCAATCTGTAGGGATAAAACGATTCTTGTTCTAGAGAGGAGATACTTGATCTTCGCTGTCTGTGCATTCTGACAGGCACTTGAATGGTCCTATTGTCCTCTCACACTCTTAAAATGAATTAATATATCTTTCGAAGAGGAGCACTATTTTCCTCCCCACACCCAGTTCAAACTCCCCAGAGTGAAGTAAAGAGCAATTCTGCAATTGAGACAGCTTATAATTTCTGAACCTTGATTCTGCAGTATGTGACACTCACAAAACGTGGTTTATACCAACTGCAGAATGCTGTATAGTTAGCAAATTGAGTGTTGCTCAATGTGAGGAAGGCATGTGGTAACTGATTTATAGGGGAAGAATTTTACATGTCTGGTATGGTCTTTTTTTTTCTTTTCTTTTTTTTTTTTTTTTACTGGACAGAGGCCGCAAATACCGGACACCTGGCAACCCTAATATTGGTAAAGAACCTTTTATGATATTTCTCTGAGTGCTGTGAAGTGCCCACATGTTTTGTATCAGAGGGGTAGTCGTATTAGTCTGAATCTGCAAAAGCGACAAGGAGTCCTGTAGCACCTTATAGACTAACAGATGTATTGGAGCATAAGCTTTCGTGGGCAAAGACCCACTTTGTCAGATGCATCCTGTATAAGGTGCTACAGGACTCCTTGTCACTTATAGCATGTTATGTTACCCTTATTAGTCTAATCTGAAAAGTATGTTACTGATTCCTCAGTTGCTGCCCCTTTCTAGATTCTCTTGTCAAAATCCAGTTATGCAAGTGATTATGCACTTGCTAACTTAATGCATAGAAGTAGTTCTACTGTCTTCGGTAGGGCTATTCTTTATGTAAGGTTATGAGGGTTAAGGCCTGAGTAGGTAAATGTTTGAAATGACTTCTTATATCATTTATATTACTTTATCATAAAGTAAGGTCTAACCTAGAGGCCTTACTAGGACAGTAGTTGCACTTTCTTAGATGCTGTGCAGATAAACAGTAAGGTAACCCTTCAAAAGAACTTGTAATCTTTTAAGACAAAACTTAATAGGTGGTTAAACAAATGGGAAAGGAAATAAAATTTTTCACACTTATAAGAAGGATTCATAGTGTCTAACATGAAACGAAATACTTCTAATAAGTCCGAGTGTTTTGGTTAGGGTTGCCAGATACTTTCACAAAAAATACCGAACGTGGCGGGGAAAAAATTGGTTGAGGAGAAAAAAAAAAGGGGGGGACCAAACTTGTTGAGAAAAAAGTTGCTGCGCCTTTAAATACCCCCACCAGACATGACAGGGGAAGAATTTTACATGTCTGGTATGGTCTTTTTCTTTTTTTTTTTTTTTTTTTTTACTGGACAGAGGCTGCAAATACCGGACACCTGGCAACCCTAATGTTGGTAAAGAACCTTTTATGATATTTCTCTGAGTGCTGTACAATATCTACTGTTTAAGCAAGACTGTCTTTTATGAGCTGGTGAAAGCGTAAGAACAAACAAACAAACAAAAAAGAATCATGCCACTTTCATAAATTTTAGTTATAGGATATCTTAGAATCATAGTAACACTTACCAAGTAGTGTCTAGGCCATATTTTATTTATATTTATTCTTCTCTATCTTGCAATCTATAGTACATATCTGGCCCCTCAATTACAAATTACCTGTGCATCATATGTATTTATCCTCACAATGCACCTATGATGTAGGACAATGCTATTAACCCTATTTTATCACTGAAGAACTTTGGCAGAAACAGAAGTTACGTGCCTGAATACCTTTGAGGACCTGAGCCCAAGTGACCTGTCCAAGGTTGCATAAGAAGTCTGTGATGGAGAAGGGAATCAAACCTAGTGCCTTTTTAGCTTTAAAACTTAGAACAATTTAAAGGAGGGTTGGGATTTTTTGTGTGTCAGTCTTGCGGAAAAACAAACAGTTTTTACCCTTACAATTAATTAAGCAGCTTTAATTGAAATGGAGTTTCAATGACTTATACTCTTAGTTTCTGCTATAAAATGAAGATTCCAAACTTTTTTGTCACAGGAGAAATCTTTGCTAGTTTATATGTGTACAGTGCCAAAACTTGTGTTCCCTTCTGTAATACAATTATTACTTAACAATTATAGTACAAACATATGTTTATACTTTTGATTAACTTTCATTTTACTGCTCAATTTTGTTTTTTAAAATAGAATTTAAGCCCATGTTAACCATCTATAATAGGACCACTGATTATACTATTAAGTATCTGTATAGCAGTTTTTCAGCTAAAGGTCATTTCAAAGGCAAGAATTACTGACTCTAGTTTATAGATTGAGAAGCTGAGGCATAGGGAGGTGAAATGATTTGCCCAAATTAATCAACAGATCAATGGCTAAACTAGCCAAATGTTCATGAACTAGAATTTACCAGTGGGGCCAGTAGTAGGCTCAGCTGGCAGCTGGCCCAGGTTTCAAGGAGGGGTGGTGGTGGGGATGGGTGGGGATGGGTATGTGGCCAGAAATGAGCTCTCTTGGTCTGGCAAAACCCCTCATCTGATACCAGTCAGGTCTGGAGGCTGCTAGATCAGGGAGGTCTAACCTGTACCCATATTTATATCTATAAGGAAATACATAGTTGCACTGTAGAAACTGAGTTTAGCAAATTTAATCCAGTAAATCATGTGTAGTATGAATCATGTTTTAATACAGGAGACTTTTCTTAGTCCACTTTATCTCCATTCAGCTGCACAAAACATTTACTCTCCCACTTATGATCAAATAACATTCTTCTAGAAACTAGAGGAATTGCGTACATGGAAAAGTAATTTTAGGAATGTATTTAATGTATTTTTAGTTCTCTCTCAATGCATTGAAGAAGAGCTTGTTAACAGTTGATATGATTTTGCATCCTTTTCTGATGACTAAAGAATGTAATCTTTTTTTTTTTCCTCTTCCTTCCTCTCCCTCCTGCCTTTAGGATTTTAAGACTGGGTTTGGTATCACTGCAATCCCTATGAATGTGGCAAATGTAAAACAAGTGGACAGGACAGCAAAACAGTCTTTTGAACTAATCACTCCCTATAAAAGCTTTAGGTAAGAACTATTGACATTTTTATGTATCAAAAATTTCAGAACCGGTAGTAAATTCTGGAAAAGTTTGCTTTGCATTAAAATGAACCTTACTCACTTTTGGTAAAGATTTCAGTAATTTAAATTATTTAAGTGTTTTTATATAGTTGTAAGATTTATTTCTTTGGCTGTTTTTTTTATCTGTTACATCCCTTTCCAAGTACAGTGTCTATTAGATGTCACAGGCCTTACAAATTCTTATTGTTATAATTTTGAGTTTCAATGTGTGGTTGCATTCTAAGAAAGGGTAAAGGAAAAGGAGTGGTTACTGTAAAGTCTTTTTCTTGAAAATAAATAAAATGTCAAGTAAAGGCGTCACTGAAAGAGTACTTTGTCCATTTAATTAGCTATTAATTTATTCCTTAAAAGGATCATATGACAATCATTTCAAGAACTTCCCATTGAAGCTCATAGGCACTTTATTATGTTCCATGGTAAATGCTATTGGAAACAAAATCAGGAGAACTAATACAGATATTGAATCCTTTTTAAGGAATGCCATTGTAAACTATTGTACTTAAATGAAATGAAACAGCAGTAATATAGAGAAATCATTGCCCTTTTTCCTATTCCTCTGCTTGGATTTCTGGATCTTAATCTAGGATCAGGAGGCTGAAAAGCAAACATAATTTCCAGTTTCATTGAAACTCTGATTCTGATTCACTGATTCTCTGATTCTCATTTCTAGCAGCACAGAACTGCAAGTAGGTTGGTCATGTTCCAGTGACTTGAGTCTGTACCTAACTGGGTCAGATAGCCTATGTAAAGGAATATCCTATTTAAAGTTATTACCTATGGCACAGTCCATCTCTACTGCTTAGTAAATACTAACAGTTCCTTTGGTAATGCCCTCCTGAATCTTTTGTGATATTGTGGCTTAAATCAGTTTTAAATCAGATTTATATTAAGAAAAAAGATTGAAATCAACTTTGGAATGAAAGTTGGTTTTCCAAAAATTTCTATTGCAGGTAATTAATTGAGCTTTTAAATAAATGATATGTTGGAGTATTGAGGGAGTTTTCATTAAGCAACCAAATGAAAGAATATATCTTGTCTCGATATTTAAATCTGTAGGGATATCAGATTTTTGAACAGCAACTTCATTTGTAGATTAAATGCACAAGAGGACGTATAGACCCTGTTTAATTGGGCTTTAAAATAAAGATCAATAATGCAGAAAAGTCAATTGTTTCAGCTTTACAGCAGAGTCGGAAGGAGAGAAACAAGAGTGGATTGAAGCATTGCAACAATCGATAGCAGAAACTCTCTCTGATTATGAAGTAGCTGAGAAGATCTGGTTCAATGAGTCAAATAGGAGCTGTGCTGATTGTAAAGCTTCAGATCCTGACTGGGCATCCATCAATCTCTGTGTTGTCATTTGTAAGAAATGCGCAGGTAGAGTAATTAAAAATGAGTCCCTGTGTTGCTACAGAATATCACTTGCATACCTATGCATGTCCTTTCTTTTTTGTTGCTTTTGTTTTACTTAGTGCCATTTATAACATGTCCTTGCAAAAGTTTTGAGAAGCAGAAATTTGTGGTATCTTTAAATCAAAGTACAGATATATTTAATTATTCTAAGCCTTACAGCGTTTTCCAAACTACAGGCCGTGGGAAAAAATACCAGGCCTCAGCGTGGCTACCGGGAGGGGAGCAGAGCAGGGCGGGTTGGGAGGAGGGGTGTGTGTGGGGGAAACTGGCCATTGGGAAGCAGGGTTGGGGACAGCAGGGCTGTCCCGCGGAGATCGTGGCTGGCGGCCGGCGGAAGCAGAGTTGGGGGCATGGTTAGCAGGGATGTGCCTTCTGCAGTCCCAAAGAAAATGAGGCCACATTTGGCCCACTTTGCATATGCATTTGATACAGTTTTAATTATGTGTTCCACAGCAATGCCCCCCTTCACTTCAACACCCTGGACAGTGCTCTGGGAGTCAAGCAAGGCTGTGTGGTAAGGAGGCTGTTTGTTTACAGGATCCTTGCCTCATTTGTTGTGGAAGCTGAAAGGTGGGTAGTGAACGAGGCAAGGGATTACAGGAAGACAAAAGGGGGCTGGAGGGCTGGGCGGGGGAGATGAGGAGGAGGATGGGAGAACCAGCTGCTAGAAGCAGGGCTGGACAGGGGCAGCAGGGCTAGATTGGGGAGATCGGGAGGAGAAGGGTGGGGGAGAGTGGGACTGACCTGGGCACATGCAAACCCGGGCATACAAGTAAGTCTGGCCCTGGGATTCCATTTTGCTCCCTTCTCCCCGCCCCCCACACATACCCTCCCTTGAGTAGTTGTGAACTGCCTGGCTGGTAGACACACTCAGGCAGCATGAGCACATCTACCAGCCAGGCAGTTTGCAGCTAAGGACTGATACACCTAATTATAATAAAACTTACCTAATTAGAAAATACCAGACTGTCTGGTACAAAATCAGACACTTGGCTACCATTGCACCCTGCCTCCTAGCAAGATACCCTATGCCCAATCTGCTCCTGCTCCCGCCTCCTGGAGTGCCCATGTGGCACCGGGTCCCTCAAGCCCTGGCCCAGGCTGGGCAGAGGATGCAACCAGGTGAACCACTGAAAATGTATTCATTTTTCATTCTTTTTTTATATGCATTTATATTTTTGGGCTGCAAAAAACAGTACTGAAAAAAAAAAACCAGGTTCCAACTAAAGTAAAAAATTTGGGAAACCCTGATCTAGCCAGCTTTCTATCCATCTTACAGTCCAACCCATATTCCCTTAACTTGCTGGCAAGAATATTGTGGGTGACTGTATCAAAAGCTTGGCTAACGCTGGCACTGGGGGCTTTGGGAGAACCAGAAAAAACTTATTTGAATATTCATCATTTGCTTAATGAATATGCAAATATGCAAATGAATGTTTCCAGTCTTCCAAAAGCTCGTGAATGGGTTTACTGGTCCCCATGTGAAAAAGTTTGGGAAACCCTGTTCTAAACCATTTCCATGTATCAATGTGTCCAATCTTCTAAGTTGGTCCATGCCCTTGAAATGAATAATTTGTTGCGGTCAGTGGAAGTTAAGGCTCCTCAGCACCTCTGTGGAGGCACTTGGTACCTTGCAGAATTGGGTTCTGATTTAGGACATAAGCGTTGCCCATATTGGATCTGACCATGCTCAGTGCTGTCTGCTGTCCTGACTATATAGTGGTCTGTATTAGAGCTACAGGGGAGTTTACAGAATAGGTCAGATTTAGAGTGGTATACCCTCTTTTCATTTGCGGCTTCTAGTGGCCAGAGGTATAGAGACATTCCTCTGAGTGTAATATTGTGCCCTGACCATCTTGCCTAATAATCATTCATACATCTATTCTCCATGAACCTGTCCAGTTCACTCTGGAACCCAGTTATACTTTTGGTTATCACAACATCTCATGGTAGTGAATTCCTCAGCTTAGCTATATATTGTGTGAAAATGTACTCTCGCTTGTTTGTATTAAACCTGTTTCCCCCTAGCTTTTGGATGGTGTAAAATGGTAAATAGCATTTTTCTTATTTTGTACCCACACCATTCATGGCTTTACTGAACTTTCTTATATTCCCCTTTAATCATATATTTTCTAAGATGAAGAGCCCTAATCATTTCAGTCTCTCCTCCATATCAAGGTAAACTGCAGTGGCCAAACTGGACACAGTATTCACAAGATGGGTACACCATGGATTTATTATAGTGACATTATATTTTGTCTTATTTTCTTTCCCTTTTCTAATGTACTGTTATGCTTTTAGACTGCTGCTGGTTATTTAGTACAGTACAAGTTTTCAGAGAGCTTCCTTGATGATCTCAGTATCTTTATTGCATAGAAATAGTTAATTGAGAGCCAATAATTGTTTATATGTACTTGGAATTATTTTTTTTCCTTTGATCTTGGTAAAGGATTTCTGAAAATTCACGTGTCATATCATCTGGATCACCTTTATCCACATGATTGTTGACTCTCTCCGATAATTCTAAATTCCAAATAATGGCCTCTTCCTGTTGTCTGGTACACTGGTCGATCCCAGTATAAGGTTAAATCAATGGTCTCCAACCTTTGTAACCACAAGATCACTTTTTCAATTTAAGTGCAATGTAAGATCTACCTCAAACCCAAACCTTGCCCCACTTCATTCCCGCCCCTTCTCTGAGGCCCTGCCCCTGCTCCATCCCTTCTCCGAGGCCTCACACTGCTCGCTCCATCCCCTTCCTTCCCCATCCTCACTTACTTTCAACAGGCTGAGGTAGGGGATTGGAGTGCAGGCTCTGGTCTTGGGCTAAGGAGTTTGGAGTGTTGGAATGGCTCCGGGCTTAGCTCAGGGTGGGGGATTGGGGTCCAGGAGGGGTTTCAGGGTACAAGCTTTGGGAAGGAGTTTGGGCGCAGGGGGAGTCACGACTGGGGCAGGAGGTTGGGTGTAGGAGGAGGTTCAGGAAGCAGGCCCTGGCTGGGCACCATTTAACTGAGATGGCTTCCAGGTGGTGGAGCAGTGGGGTTAAGGCAGGCTTACTCCTGCTGTGGCCCTGCACCACTCCTGAAAGCAGCTGGCATGTACAGCAATGGCTCCATGGTGCCATGTACTGCCCCTCATCTATAGGCACGGAGCCCACAGCTTCTACTGGCCATGGCTCCCCATTATTAATCAATGGGAGCAGAAGGAGTGGTGTCTGCCAGCAAGGACAACATGTGGAGAGCTCCTGCTCTGCCTTTCTCAGGACCTGTAGAGACATGCCAGCCACTTCCCATAGCAGCAATTATCACAGGGATAATTACTCCAGCCACGACAGGATAGGCATTATAGAACTCACTACTCAAAGAATTACATTTAAGCGTAAGGGAGAAATGAAAATTATGAAATGCACAGACCAGTTAGAAACCAAAACTCACACACTTTGCAAGCAGTAAAAGAAGTAATAACACCCCCCTGTGGGTGTTGGGTCAGAAGATGAGAGTGAAGGACAGTGTGTGTTTGTGGGAGTAACAGAGACACACACAGTGTGTAAGAGTGACAGAGATTTGCATTGCCAAGCTCCCTCCATCCTCTTCTCTCTGTGTGGAGAAAGGGTACAGAAGTGGGGGGAGGAGGGATACCCTGACATCAGTTCCCCCTCTTCTCCCTCCCACATCCTGCACATCAAGCAGGAGGTTCCCAGGGGGCAGCTCCAAGGCAGATGGCAGGAGAATGACAATAGGTGGAGGGGCAACTGAAGTGCTAGTGCTTGATAGCCTTTTGGCCAAACCAGTCAGGATCACCTGTCAGAGGCTATCTACTGTTTGGTGGCCACTGGGTTACGTACTACAGTTTATAGTTCTGTAATTTCTTCTTTGAATTCCTTCACAATTCTTGGATGAATACCATTTAGTCCTGATGACTTATTACAGTTTGTCTTATCAGTTGGTTCTAAAAGTTGTTGTACTGACACATTAAGTAGGGACAGAACTTCAGAGTTGTCAGCCAAAAAGAAGAGCTGTGTTATATGTATCTCCATATCCTCTGTAGTGAAGACCAATGCAAAGAATTCATTTAGGTTTTCTACACTGAGACTTGTCTTCCTTGAGTACTCCTTTTAATTAAACCTTACATGTGGACATTGCAAAGTAAACATTTCAGAATGATCTCCGCAACTTCAGTACATATTTTATGGTTCCCAAGGAAATATTTTTTGAGATGTTAGTAGAAAGTTACGTTAAAATGACAGGCAAAACAGGATTTTTATACTTGCAGTAAGTGTGTATAGTAAAAATTCCAAGTAGTTAAAAGAAAACAAAAAAACCAAACCTTCAAATGTCTCCTGTATCAGAAAAAATAGGTGATCTATTAAATATTTAAGGAATTATATAAATGTAAACAGTATTTACATAATATGGGAAAAAAGACTTTCCTATTCCAAAGAATTTACAGTCTATTCACATTTTAGCTTGTAGTAAAGTGTGAATTGCACTATTGAAATTATCTAAAATTTTCAAACTCTTGCATATGACCAGTGTTAGCTATTAATCTCATCGTTTTAAAACAAATATCTTTACTAAAGTAATGTTTTTTGTACTTTTAACCTAAAAGGCTCAGTTGAAATAATTTAAAATATATCATTTTTGTTCAGGGCAGCACAGATCTTTAGGACCCAGAGATTCAAAGGTCCGAAGCCTCAAAATGGATGCCAGTATATGGAGCAATGAGCTGATTGAGGTAGGTTATGTGGTAACTTTATGATTTTTGGTGTAAAAGTTGCTTCTTTCTTTGTGTGTATAGGCTCAGCTAATTTAAAAGCCATTCATTAGCCCTATTGTTGCATAATGTATTTCTCTTTAACTAAATTGCCAATCCAAATATGCAAAAATAATTTCATCCCTGAGTTCATGAAATTTGGTTTAACAATTATTTCATTTAAAAAATAATAATTATTAGGTTACTTTTATTTTCTTTCTGGGGTTTGTTTTCCCCAGCTTTTCTCCCAAACCATGAGGGATGAAATATCTCTCCCATCCCCAATTCATTTTTTTAAGTTACCTGACTCTAGCAGCTGGGGCTTTAAGAAACGCATTCAATACTGTCCTGAGATTAGCAATAAAATCTTATTGTTTTAGATATTTCTTAATGTTGCTTAAATTATTTGGATAATGTAGATGTAAATAATCTAGATGCACAAAGCCAGGCTGTGGCTGGTTTCTCCTGTAGGGTAATAAGTGGTTTTGGCACTGTATGTTGGACCTCCCTCCTCTGGCACCCTGGGGACCTAACCGGTCCTGAATGAGGGGATTTGCCATACTGGGGAGGTCCCTGCCAACATGTTCTGTGCTGTCCTGCTGCCCTCGGCTAGGGCTCCCCCCTCGCCCCC